ATAAAATGGAATGTGAGCTTTTGGCATCAAGAACAGAAAAAAAATTAACTACTTATTTTCTTTTGATTAATTACTGGAACAATATTAGTAAGCAGCATATTCTTTTACTAGTCATGTATTTACTCCAACTACATTAACTTCAGAAGCTCATACCAGTATGAGCTTTTAGTAAACAGATAACTATAATTCTAAAAGTTCTGTGATATGAGGAGTGATACAAAGACATTCAGACTATGTAAAAACTGCAGTAGAAAGCAAGATGCTATAAGGAAGATCAAAGAGAAGAGATTATTATCCATGAATAAATTGTTGCTCCAGAATAAGAGCTTTCCTGAATATGAACAGTAAACACTAAAGTACTGCTGTTCAAAGAAAAGAAAAAAAGCATTTAAAAACTTACCTTCCTGCCATTCACAAAAAAGACAAGCTCATCTGATTGTTGGGGGCAAGCCATGCTGTTGCATTAAAGTCTGAAAAATAAAGCTTTACACATCGAGAGAAATTAATGAAATGCTAATGCTTCTAAAAGTCAACTGAGTTTGCTTTGTCCCGCACAATTCATTTTCAGACCGAGCATCAAATTAAGTAGATGGGAGGAGCCAGTGTAATGTATAGCATTTCTGAGCAATAAAAGCATGTTCAGATGCTAATACACCAAACTTTCTACTCCTACTCCCCACCCCAACTCTTCTCTGGTGAGCTGAAATAACTGGAAAGGATCTGACCCCCTTTAATTCTAATCCTGTAACCTAAGAGACAAGGCACCCAACTGTGAGGGGGGATTTCTGGGTTTGAGCTACAACTGACAGGCCTGGTTTTTTATATATTATCCAGTAACTGATGAGTTTAGAATATGTAGGAATGCCTGAAGCTAGAGCCCAGGATATGCAACATTACCCACTTCTGTGGAGTGTCAAATGCTAAGCTGCGGAGCCATGCTTCTCATTTTAGCTTGTCACTGACCTGAACTATATATATATATACTTCTTTCTGCAGAGCGATCAAATTTTAACAAAATCAAGATTACGAATACACACTCTTAAAATTTCCTTCTGTTTATCTCCATGCTGTGCTAGCTTTATACCCTGACTGCTGTGGGAGCCATTATAAGATGTTTTTATATTTATACCATGTTCTTAGAGAGAGAAATCTCAAATCCTGATTTGGGATTCTAGGTTCTTATCCATTTCTCTGGATGTGCATCCACAAGGTCATTAATCTTTAAATGCTTTCTTACAGCTGGCCTTTATTTTTTTTAAAGGGGACTTACATATATGTCTTTCATAATGCTTTCTTACAGCTGGCCTTTATTTTTTTTTTAAAAGGGGACTTACGTATATGTCTTTCATGAGTCTCTATTTGCATATGTACATGTCTTTTGCTTCATTTATCAGTTTTACATTTTACAGCAAAGGTCTCTGTATTTCATTTGGAGTCAGAGTAGGCTTGCAGCACAAAGCAGTCAGTCTCAGATCTTTTAGAAGGAAAGAAAATGATTGCCAGCAGAGAAATGGTGCTTTTGTGTGTTAGCCCCTAACGTATGCCTGAGAGCTACCACTATGTAAGCACTGAAGCCATGTCAGTCACTAGGTCCTGCAGGCAAAAGCCCTAATGGGTCCTGCCAACGGCAGCACTGTAGTATTCCACGTGTGGTAGGTACAACAATGCAGGTTCAAAGGCCTAAGAAGAGAAAGAAACAGACACAATATTAGATTTTGGCAGTCCAGTATCTAATTTTCAGAGTACTAGGCCTCCAAACCAGGACTTAGCATTTATGTTAGGTGTTAAGGCTTATACACACACAGAGTGGGAGTGCTGAGGGCGGGTAGTTCTAGAAACACTTCTTTCATCAAGAAAATTAGCAGAAAGTGTTCTCAAACATCTCCAGTTTTGGTGTTTCTATAGTGCACATGAATGTGTCAATAGCCATCCAACATGTCAGTGCCTTTGGAGCCCTAACCTTTCTGCTTATCTAGCCCGCTGAGTCTGCACATTTTAAACAATATTAAAAATGTAACAAAACCCACCCCCCTTTAATGCCTGTACAGAGTAAGAAAAGATTTCTTTCATAATATCCCATGAATCCATAGTGTCATCTGTCAGGATATTTAATTGCTGATATTTCTAGCTTCCATGCAGTTTTTCAAACACCTAAAAGCCTGGAGACAGCTTAATATGTTTCAGCCCCCCAAATCCCCAACATCCCATGTTTGTTACACTTACAGATTTTAGAGAGACAACCAGACAACCGTGCCACTTATAAACAGGCAGAGAGGAATCTTGGTTAATAATAACTGAGAAATATTGACAAGCAGACGTATGATCTGCACTGCAGAAAACAAAGTGCAGGTCTAGAACATGATGAATTCCTGCAGTGCAAACACCTCAGCACTGCAGGTGGGGAGACGTTATTAACTGCAAGGGTTGGGCCACTATTTTTACAAGATTTGACTTGTCTGGAACTAACCAGCACCTGCACTGATTCACAGGCACATAGAAGAATAACAGACAATGCATCTTCCCCCAGTTGTATAGACCTGTAAGCTCCCTGCTTCAGCATATCCCAGCATTTACCCATAGTCTGGGGCTGTTACCGACATGTGGGGTTGTGAGCCATCATTAACAAGCCCATGCAGTGAAATTAAGAAGATGTTTCAAATCAGAAAAACTAATTATGGCAGCAGCATTCACATTTAATTTGATTTATTGTCTTTCTTACAATATATTAAAGACAAAGTAATACAAAGAAAGTGAAGAAGTAAAAACCAAGGGGGCTTCAGCTGCCAAAACCACACATACTTATAGTGCCACTTAGATGATTTGCTATAACCTGTTTGGCCTCCAGTTGCTATGTTGTATCTTCCAGTCCTGTGCTTGCCTATGTCTCTGCTGACTTATAATATCTAAAATGGCCTAGACATCTGTGTTTAAGCAGCTGAATTTCACCTACTCATAGCAGTTACAGAGAGACAAACAAATTGAAACAAAGATTTTATATCTTAATAACCAATGCAAAAACAGTTTAACCTACTAGCCTGATCTCTGTCACAGGCACAGTATCTACTCAGAAATGGGATGGAAGGCAAGAAGAGAAAATAGCCTGTGGAAAACCAAGGATCAGTGAAATTATAATAAGAGCCCGCAGGCTGACATGTCAAACAAATCTGAGGCATTTATTTTCATTACAAATAGCAGTCTTCATGGCTCTGCAGCAATCTGACCTAACTGGAAGAGCAATTCACCATGGTCAGCTAGGAATAACTGATGCAGATGTTCTCTGAAACTACAACACAATGTACCAACTACCTATTTTCCCAGTTCTACTTTCTTATCAAAGAACTTGCTACAATTTTCAGGTGCTACTTGGAGTAACTTCTGTAGACTCACTAAAGAAGTGTTTTCTCTGCATTAGGATGTATCCCAGATAAAAGCCCCAAATTCAAATACCATGGAGATTTGTGTAAGTGTGTGTGCACTGAGAACTGAAATCTCAGATATTCTTTATCACAGGAGTGGCCAAGAGTGGGAGAAAGTTCTTAACTGTATTTTCATGGCTTTATATAGTCCTGAGCACAGGATTAAACACTGCTTAAGAATTCTTTCCAGAGAAAGGTTCATCCAGCCTTCTATTCAAAGCATTCTGAACTCCATGTGAGTCTTTCTATTTAAAGTTTAGAGGATTTTGGCTTGCTCCATGAGAAAAAGAAAGCTCCCAGTGGAAATTACAACTAAGCAACTTTTCCAACTTTTGGGATACAATTAATCTCCTATATACATAAGTCAGCCACAGCAATTTACCTGGCATTGCAAAAGACAATCATAATTCTTGTTTCTTGCATTTTTTAACACAAAGATGTCTGTGCCAAAGGAATATGAAACAGCTTTACTACAAATCAGAGCATCACTTCTTCTCATAAAGGGACTGAATCCGACAAACAAGGTTCTGATTCTTCAACAGACAAAGATCTCTGCACTCACACTCCACTTCAAGACTCAAATCTAAATTAAAAATTTAGCTGAAGCCATTAAAAAATCATTTATCATATGAAGTGTTTAAGTGTAACAAGTGGCAGCAAGTTATACCTTTATACTTCATCCTAACTTTCTACTCCTGCAGCATTTGAGCTGAGCTGTTCAGCAGATCTTTCTTGATGAAAATATACGCTTCAAATGCAGGAGATGCATTTCTAGAAATTCAGTAATTTAAGTGAAGTACTGCAAGGAATATACTGGACGGAGAATGAAGATAAGGATGGAGGATGTAATGTACATATTTTTGGTAGCTGATTGTATTCTGAAAATGAGAAAATATATTTCTCTATGTGTTGATTGTGGCAGTAAATCAGTTTTTTGTTCCATTCCAGTCCATTCAGGTCTTGCGCACTCTGGTTTGTCATTCACACAGATATGGCCCAAGGAGCGGAGGAAGCAGATTCATCATTTGTCATCTAAGAGAACAAGCAAGAAATGAAGAGTGACTTGTTAATATTATTTGACTGGCAAGCTCCCAATATTGCCCTTATCAGGTGCCCCCAAGTCACTCAGCAGGGTATTCTGCAGGAGATACCTACAGAAAATGGTTGGCAGGAAGGTCAGTGATAACTGGGGTCAGGGCCAAACAGGGATGTAGAAGTATGGTCCCTGCACTGGAGCTCATCTCCTGCAAGCTCCTGCGATGACAGTAGCTCAACAACCTATTGATTTGGGGGCCAGTGATGCCCCACCATGACCACAGAAATACTATGGGAGTAACCTGTGAGTGAGAGCTCAAAGGTTTCCATGGCAGAGCCTCAGAAGTTCAGGGCACAACATGGATTTATACACTGGCGAGGACCTTGCTTCACTGATGTAGTAGGCTAAATAAAAACTTACACAGAAGTAGAATTGTAAAAGTGCACAGTTGCAGAAAACATAGAATATAAAGGATCAGCATTATAAGAATTATATTGCTTAATTTGTTTTTCTTCTGTATTCTTTTGTTAGCTCTGAGTTAATTATTTTTATCCCAAAGTGTACTGGGCATAGCAAGGAGTACCAGAATGATGTGACAGTGCCAGAGTGCAAGTCAGTGGGGAAAAGCACCTGGAAGGAGACTGAAGATGCTTCGAGGCTGATTAATTTCAAGTCAATTTAA